CCCCCACAAATTAGTCCTTTTTACAGTTTTTTGTGTGGATCAAACAAGATATAACAAGTTAATTAGTGAGCTATAGAAGTATACAGGTAGGTGGATTTTCCTACTTCCAGCTTTTATGCTAAGCTAAGCTAAGCAGCTGCTAGTGGTACCTTTTATATTTATTAATGGATCAATCAATGGATCAATCAATGGATCTTGTCAACCAACTCTCTCTGCAAGCAAGCAAATGGCCATCTGTCTCAAAATGTAAAACTATTCCTTTAAAGCCTTCTCTGATCCCATTAAACACCTGGACTATATTTTAAAGGCCCTATCAAGAACCAGTGTTTGGCTCTTATTATACACTAATGAAAACATACTATACTCAATTAGGATTCTCCTAAATGTTGTCCACACACTGGACCTTTAAATTAGTGAATAAATTAATTAGACACAAATTTAAAGACATTTAGTCTAAACAAATAACAAAATCACCCATCAAAACTCACCATATATAAACTTCATAAACATAAACTTAATCTCCAGATTACCAGAAATAATACATGACCTTGTCTTCAGTGACAGTGATTCTCCAAATTAAAGTTGAGATATGTGTAGGTGTTTCTGAAGCAGTTTCGTTGGAAACCAAATGTTGCTGATGAGTCACACAGTCAGAATCTAGATGAAATATGCTGCTACCGACTGTGTTATTCTCAGTGATTGGGCTTCAGCAAAAATGGTTCAGCTATAGTTGGAGGGCGATACTGTGTTTGTCCAGCAGGGGGCAGTGTGGTATCACCGGTCAGCAGCTACTGTCTGCAGGAACATATGAGAGTCTCATCACTTTGTGCTTCATATTATCGGGGCAGGACTGATCATTTCAGCCAGCTGTATCAACAGTCTCTGAGTTGTCTTGATGCCGTGCAGCAGTGGCTGTGCACACAGGAATGTACTGTAGGATTGTATTATTCATTACCTGTTCCAGTAGCTACGTCCCATTGTGTCATAAAGGGACTCAAATATTATTCTTCCTTTAAGAGAAATTAGGTGATTTCTTCCAAAAGTAATTATTGACACAAAAAGGTTAATTAGATATTTTTAATATATAAATAACTAACTTATAAATGAAGGCCTTTATTGTCACAATATTGGCACTTATGTGGACAAAATCCTAAATAAATGCTTAACCAGCCGGATCATTTGTGAAGTACCTCAGAAGTACTGTAGACAGATCAATAAGTAGCCCTCATTGATCCACCCTGTGCTCTCCTTTGTTCATTATAAATGTATGAAAGCTGGGGAACATTAACACACTTACTTTGAAAATCTGTGAATACTAAATGGAGTTTCGAACTGTCTGCAGCTCAGCATGCAATATAAATAAATTGTTCTAGCCACTGAGGTGTGAGAGAGTTTTATTCTCCACTGAAAAACAACTACGACTGTGACTTTAATTACATGTTGAGGAGTTTTATATCCATTGAAACTTAAATATGTTTTCATTTAGTCCCAGTTTTCCACATTCCTACGAATGTAATAACAAGTAATCTCTACTACGATTGAGGCCTTTTGCACGTTATTTCTCAGACTAGAATTTAAGATTAAAATAGATTTTTCACTTTTCAACCTTCTTCCCCTTGTAAGAAAACATACACAGTTTAGTCTTCTGAGAGTTTCTGAATCAGATATTCAGGATTTTCTCATACAAACTCTTAAGTTTGCATAATGTTTGAAATGTTTACTGGAGTTCTTTTTTTGTTCTTACTGAATGAAACATTGCTGTTAAAAATGTATTAATTTCATGATGTTGATTTTACCATGATACCGACTCACCAGTTCTTCCAAATACAGATGTATTTACACTTTAATCAGCCACTTGAGTGCACACAGGCGATCTCCATTTAACTTATTATGTGACCTCTACAACCAACTGGCTGCACCACTGATGATGATTTAGGTGTGTCACATTAAAGGGGCTGAATACTTCTGCAAACCTGTATGTTAGACAGTATTTGTAATTAATTTAGATTGGATGGATTCACTTTGAGTCTTTTTGTGTTAACCAGTGCCAAAAAAAGTCACATTGCATCCCCTTTGATTCAATGTTATAAAAAACAATAAAAGATGAAAACTCACACTCTTTTGTACATTTATAGGCACTGTATTTAAATCAGTAATGGTACAGGATGTATGTGAGTATATTTTAAGTACTCTTTTAGCCCAGGCCATCCCTCTTTTTGTGTAGGAACAGTGGCACATTTCAGTCTGAAGGTGACAGTTCAAGCACCACTGGGGGCTCCTATAATGAGACCTCTGACCTGATGGCTATCATCCAGCTTCCTACATCAGGAGTCACCAGCTTTAATCTCTGCATGGCCCATACATCACACACTGCATTTATTCAAGGTTATCAGGATTATCTGTATTCATTACAACAAACCTCTTAATTACTGTTGAGTCAGGGTTGGGTGGAGGCCAGGGCTGCTTGACTCGTCTTCTTTATCTCTTCACATTACTGTCAAGCTGTTGATTGCCATTTTAATTCAGTGACACTGTTTTCTCTCTGTTTTGTCTTGTTTTAGCTTCTATTAATCCAGATTTTAACTTCTATCTACAACATTTTGGTCTCTATTTAACTGCTGTATTTACATCATGTTAAAATCAGAAATAGAAACACTACTCTAGATCCCTCCTTTAGCTCATCTATGCAAGGAAATTCTCTTATTGTTTACGAACCCCATAGGGAGGTCAGAGGTCAGGGTCGACTCCCGATCAGCACTGTTTGTCTTTGACATTTTAACAGGGTGGATGCTGACTGTTGTGATGTCTTGAACCCTTCTGGTTTTGACGATGTTTTCCCACTCATTAAGACACCAGCATTCAAACACACACTTCATAGTTGAGGGAGAAATAAAGAGTCAGAGTAAGAGATGGAGACAGTGATCATAAACAGAAAACGTAGGGCCTGAGTGAAGCAGGGAAGAGCGCACTAGAGTTTGACATTTTCCCACACTGCTCCCCGGCCAGGACCACCGGGGTCAAAAGGAAGAGGTTGAATCCCTGGAGTATAAAGCTCTCCTTTGGTTTACTCCTCCCTGCTCTTCCCCTGACATTACACTTCCTCTCTTCTGTTAACACCATACTCATTTAAAACTAACACATAAACACTGCTGGGGCTGGGCTCGAGGGTCGGGAGACAAAAAACAATCACTGGATTTGTTCTGTGACCTCTACTGCTTATGTTGTGTCTATCCTTTACCTACCTGTGCACATCTCTCAGTTATTAAGACTGTATGTCTGCTGTTGAGCCACACATGACTTCAGTACCAGTGAATGAGAGCATGAATCAACAGTAAAAGATGCCCAACGTCATGTTAAGAGACAAATTCTTGTATCACAGCAGATGTGTGGTATGGAGCTGGGGATATTTTTAGAGAGGACATTGGGAACGGGAATAAGACCGTAAACCACAAGGCTCTAGTGAATTGTCATATGTTGGTTGGAGTGGTCCCATATGACCATTAGGGGCCCACTCCTCTAACCCTGCAACCCTCCTGCAGCCCCCAAACACTCCCCTTATCTTCACAGAAGATGGAAGGAAGATGAACTATCTCTGGACTCAACTGCTGCATTATCTCTGATTTCAGATACAGGGTTGAAAAAGTGAAAGTCAACTTGTGGATATACTTCCCACTGTATCCCGGTTGTAAAAACTACCCACTACATAAAGCCCCGGGGAGAAACTGCAGGCTGTGTGGATGTCAAGAACAGATGGTGAAATCATTGAAACCAAAAAGATACAGAGGCCAAATCTTAAAATATGTAGGTTTTAGTAAACTATGTTGGTAGGAATGTAAGACGGAAATGTGATTCTGCATAGGCCCCTTTAACAGCAAACAATAAACTATGATTTTACTAATAACATTAACAATAGCTCTTTTTCTGTATTTACACTTTATTTAAGAACCAGTGTGTAGGATTTAGTGGCATCTAGTGGCGTATTTGCACATTACAATGCCCTCTCATCACCCTCCTGCTCCAAATATGTAGGAGAAGATATGGTGGTTGCGACCTGCAGCATCTGTAGATAAAAACGTCTCATTGTAAGGTAAACATACCCATGAATATTATATTACATTTCTGCCAATAGATCCTCCTAAATGTTACACACTGGACCTTTAAAGACATGACAGTGTGATAGTGAGGCACAATACCAGGACCCTGAAACTGAAGCTGCTAAACGGAATTCAGCCATCATTCGATTTATAATCTACACCTGTACTTCAACCTCAAAATGCGTCTGTGAATAAAACCATTCTGTGGTGACTTTGCTGCTGGGCTTTTTCTGGGCTGCACCTGAAAGCAACACAACCAGCAGCTTGAACGCCTTTCTGTTGTTTATCTTGTAGCAAACTGTCACTCATCCACTGTGCACCAGTGGTTACCGACCTTTTTATGTGTGACGCCTCGTCAATAACCGGATGTTATTTAACACTATTAATTATATAAAAGTGGATGTTTTTAGAGTGATCCTGGAACATTTTGTGTTTCTTTTTTTCTTTAAATGGGCCATTCTGCATAATGATTCATTTTATCAAGTATAGTTTGATAATACTTTCATACTTTGTACTTCAACTTTAGTCAAATTCTGAATGCAGGATTTGTAACAAAGTATTTCTACAATGTGGTACTTTAACTAGTAAATGATCTGAGTACTTCCACCACAGATCCTCTGTGATGATACAGTGACTATCTTCAGTTTCTCTACTTTTGGTGGGACCAAACAAGACATTTTAGGACATGAACATGGTCTTGGAAGTTATTTGCTGACGTTCTATAGACTAAATGATCAATTAATTAATCAGGAAAACAATCCGTAGATTATTAGCTGCAGCCATAATAAATGAGCTATAGTATTTAATAAACCCATGTGTCACCTGTGTTTGTCGCAGTCTAAGAGTCAGGCTGTGACATTTAAAAGGATTATGTGTTGAACTGATGAAGAAGATCACAAGAGACACTTTCACTGATTTTTGTTTTATTATGAACAGAATGACTCACCAGTTACGTGGCAGCCTTAGCATTTTAAAAAAGTTACATTCACGTCTTCAAATCACGTCGTCTCACACTGTGTCACACACACTGCAGGTAGCAACAGATGATGGTCACGTGAGCTGCCGTCAGTTAATGGCTATCTTTACTCAGTAACCTTAGAGGAAGAGTAGTCTATAATGACTACAGTCTGGGCTCCACGAGTCATTTACAACCTCATCAAAAACTGACATTCAGACCACTTTCATTAATGATATCTATATAATGCAGTAAGAAACACAATAAAGTAATTGGTATAACATAGCGCCAGTCACAAAAACAATGCAGAAATCAATTTTTTTTCATACAAATGACTGAAAAAATAGCTTTTCAAAAAACAAATGAGGGCAAATGACAGCTCCGACTCCACCCACCGTCAGTAATAGCACACTAAGTGGTGTCACAATAGTGCCCTGTAAACTTTAAACAACAATCAATATCAACACTTCAGCTTCGACAGCAACAAATGAGAAACAAAAGCAAAATTAAATTGTAAAGCCTTATTAGTTTATGGTCCTTTTATACAACAGAAATCTGTTTTATCACAATGACAAAGGAAAGAGAAAACCTTTTATGGATTGCGTATTGGTGGTGACTGTAACACGCCACTGATGGAAGACTGGAATAAGCCCTATCAATAGCCTGACTGGAAAACTATAAATCACTTTCCTTAAACACAGAAAACCCTTTTTGTACTCTTTACATGGCTCTATGTATATTTAAATGGTAGAAGCTTTTCACAGCAGGATCTAAAGGTTGTGGCGTTGCTTAGAGTACACACACGGCGTTCGTACACACGGCGTTCGTACACACGGCGTTCGTACACACGGTGTGTGTGGAATCATTTGTATACTGGTGCTCTTAAAGCACAGTGTAAGTTTTATTTCCTCACAGCTTGGCCCACTAAAAGCACGACATTTTAAGACATGAACGGTGGTAAACATTACAGCATCAGGGAGGGCACTGACGGGTTACCATGGCTACGAGACCTGAGACTCAGTGTGGCAATACTGGAATATTTAAACAGGCGCATCTAACGTCGAGCTGTGTCCCAAATCTACACTACAGACTGAGTCTGAGCAGGATTTGAGTATGTCGTGTGTGCACGCTAGAATAATACGCGTGGATACAAAGTGTACTGTTAATGGTCACTATTCTCCCACAATGCAATGCACTGAGGACATTAATTGTGGATGGTGAAACAGAACATTGTAGTTTGATTGGACTGCACTAGTATTAAATCATTTCCTGCTAGTTGAACCAGTTAAATATGTTGATTTCTTGCACACTAACAGCACAACAGGGTACTATAAAGATTAGCATATAGTTCATACTGTATACTGTTAGTATTTAGTCTAGAATTGGGACACAGCATTTGTATTTCTTTTCTACTAACAGTTTTCAGAAGGTGCACACATAGGAAACAACATTTTAGAAGATAAATCTGGTGATATTCTCTATTTTTTCCGCTGTCAATAAATCATTTTAAATCCCCAAAGATCCAAAAACACAATGAATTGACCTTTAAGCGTCGTCTGTGTAGTGTTAGCACATTTACACACACTAGCACTACTTACTCCTCTTCTGAGTGACATTCGTTTAAAAACTACAGTTGTTTTGGAAATTATCTTTTTTAAAATTGAAAATATAAATTTGCGAGTCCTTTTTTTAAAACATAAACAACTCCAGTGAAGATGAACAGCCACCGACGGAGTAGAGAAGACACAAAGTATAAAGACTGTTTCTGACAGCAGGAAAAACGTAGAATATTACCAGATCTATCCTTTATCACAACCTAGTAAAAACACAAGTCAAACAACATCACTTCAGTGGTGGTAAACCTTAGAGTGTAGCTACTGTTCCACGTGGTCGGACGCCCACAGACCCACTCCTGTTGGTCCCTCATAGATACACGTCCATAGTGTTGAGGATCATGTGCCGACAGAGCGGGCAGTTCTGTTGGTAGACGGGCTGCCTCAACAGGATGTTCGTACAGTCTCTGCACAGGCAGAGGTGCCTGCATGGCAGCAGCACCACCGTCTTGGAGCAGTCCTGACAGATAACGCACTTCTTCCTGTCCTCCTGCTCCTTCAGCAGAGTCAGCAGATTCTCGGCAGGCAGAGGTTTACCGTCTTTGCCCGAAGACGACTGCTTCTTTAGCGGTCTGTCCATGCTCGAGGAGGGGAAAACTAAATCCAGCAGCTCCTGGTGGGATCCATCTCCTGCTCTTCCATCTGGTGGGTCCCGCCTCTCCTCTCCGGGGTCACCATCGCCGCGTACCCTGTTGTTGTTGTTGTTTCTGTGGAGATGGGTCCTCACAGCAAGACCTAGCTGGCTGCTGAGTCGAGACAGCTGCTGCCACAGCCCCCTCTCTAGCAGGTGGAGGTGATGGAGTATCCTGGGCAGGCGCTGCATGAGGCCACGTACAAAATGTGGGGCGCTCCGCAAGACTGAAGCGAGGCGGTGGAGAGCCAGGTAAAGTCTGCGCAGGGCAGGAAAAGAGTTAATGTAATCCAGAATTCGCACGGCAGCCTGTCGGGTCAGCACCGGGTTCAGGTAGGCGGTGGTCGTTAGAGCAATAGTGACAGTGAGCAGGAGGCCGTAGATGTTCAGGATGAAGATGCTGATGAACATATGAACCAGCGAGACCACGAAGTCCAACACCAGTTTACAGGGTGACCACAGGAAAGCCGAAGTCCCAACCAGACTGCTGTACAGAAAGGTGAAGGAAGTCAGCGTGAGCTCCAGCACCTTCTGCAGCGGGCTGGAGACCGTCTGCCACACACTGACCACCGCCAGGTAGATGTTCTGAGCGGCAATGAGTGCAAAGTTGACCACGGTGTTGGCGAAATAGACCACCAGGCTGACAGCGATGCCGCAGCCCTCCAGCACTGACAGCAGCCCTCGACACAGGTGCTCCTTCCCACGAAGCAGGACGTGCATGGACAGGTAACCCACCATCTTCAGGCTCTCCAGCAGCCCCTCCAGAGCCAGCACCAAGCTCCCCAGCATGGTGACGGTCCCGTGGGCTACGTTTGACGTCGCTTCCGCCAGGGACATGAAGCCAAGCACGGTTAAGTTCCCCAGCTCCAGCAGTGAGTTGAGGAGGAGGCTGGGCAGGCTGGTTATGAAGGCGACCACCGCCAGGACCGTCCGCACCACGGTGTGGACGATGACAAAGTTCAGGTCCAGCAGTAAGCACACGGCGTCCAGACATTTTCCTACAGTGGAGATGACAAAGTTCACCAACCCCATGGTAACGTCTCGTTCACTTGAGGATTACCTCTCGCTGCTCTCAGCTCGTCTCCAAGGCAAACTCCATGTCGTGTGTATTTTCAGACGTCAGCTACATCGTGTTCACATCGATAGGTTGTTCCCCGAGTTACACCATTCCTCGTTTCGGTCACTTTTTCATGTTTTGCTCATGTTTTGTCCGGTTGAAACGACGAGCTAACGTAGTAAAAACACACGCGTTACACGGGCGGATGTTTAGGTTCAAACTGGAGGAAGACACTTCCGTTTGTTTTCCGGGTTTCGTCGAGGCTGTCCGTTCAGAAAATGGTCCGGAGGCATTTGATTGGTTAAACGGTCTCGTTACGAAACATTTGATCTGGAATACCGACACGTGAAACCAAAAGAGACGAAAGAAAAACACACCGATAGTTTGTTTATCGTTGCCGTGGCCGCCATATTTGTTTTGGTCAGCTGACCTCATGGCTTCCTTCCGGTGACGCTTGCGCAACATCCCAAAAAATATAGTAAAACATTAACATACCGATATAATATGATTATAAACATATCATATCAATATTTTATTACATGAATTAAATACTTATAAATTAAATACATATTTTTTTTACATTTACAGAAATGTTATGGAAATATTAATAACTGTTAACACAGTTTAAATATGTGTTTAGCAAAATACGATTTTCACAATTTTGGTGAAAAATAAGCGGAAATGTATGTATTATTTTAATAATTGTACTGGAAAAATACCATATCCACTAATAATACATATTCAAATCTGTACTTTTATTAAAATCACTAAAATAGATAAATTATTGACAACATTTCTTCTTTAGTTTCATATGATTGAAATTAGGTCTTTAAAAAAATGTTTTGTTATATATTTAGCTATTAATTGCTTATTTTTCTGAATAAACCTGAGTTGTTGAGGAAACAAGGAAAGGGCTTTCTTTATTCTTAGAAACTCTCGTGTACGTGTGTATGTGTGTGTGTGTGTGTGTGTGAGAGAGAGAGAGAGAGAGAGAGAGACCTTTAATGCATCAACAGGGTTTTCCAATTTCCTGAACTGGTTCCATTTACATTAACACATAATAACTTGTTGAGCCATACTCTCCCATTACCTCAGCCACTTCGGTGACAATGAAACACAAAAGCTTTGTAATCCTGAACAATATCAACAGCATTTCCTTCCTTGCCTTGTGGCTCATCCTCCCCATCTGAGCTGTTCAGCAATGAGGGAAACTCCATCTGATATGATCATGGGAAATCCTGTTCTGAACCTTTGGACACTTGACAAACAGCATTTGTTTAAGCATTTAATGATGCAGCAGGGAAACGTAGAGCAAGGAGCTATAAAAGGTCTTGTGCATTACTTTGTCTCTGGCACAGAGCTTCTAGACCTGCTCCTTTTATGGTAGCTAACCTTCCCTCTGGTCCATTAGCAGGCCAGTAGTCAGCTTCCTTTGTTTGTTTTCTGGTGAACTGAATCCTTCCTCTCTATAGGATTGCTTTTATCTGAAACCTTCTGCAGTCTTTTAGCATGGATACTAAACAATTATGTCTTGTTGTAACTCTTAGAAAGATGTTGGAGGCTGTTTAGTAGAACCAAGATAACTTTTTACTTTTAACTTTTTGCTGGTACAACAACAGCTGCCTCAAACTGTGTGGCTTTCAGATTTATCAGCAGTGTTGATGTTGCTTTCTTCACATTCACTCAACAGTCAGCAGAAGTACCCAGTTCACCAGCCCGAGAGCCTCATTCCAACTGAGACAAAGATTGGTTTCCACATTGGCCATTTGTCAATGACGACAAGTCCCTCAAGTCATCTTAAAGTTAGACCTGGAAGCTGTCTCTTCAGAGCTGTTTACTTAAACCATCTCAAAAATATAGGGCATAAACAGGGGAAACAAGATAAGCTTGCACAGGAAAAAACAGAGACAGCAGGACAAACCAACCCTTTGACGTGCTTCCCACAAGGAGCCGAGGGCCCCACGGATGAGTAGTTTGCAGCAATTGGGGAACCCTCACCCGCTGGGTCATTTCCATCCTGTGAAGAAACGTGAGCATCTGATGCACCCCTCTGTCTACTCTTCCACTCCCCAGAAACAACTCCTCACTGCTGTGTTTCAGTCGTGTGAAGAGATAAAGTTAATTGAGTGGTGTTCTCACAGCCACTTGCGTTGTTGAATTTCTCTAATGTACAGTAAAGTCTCTAAACTGCACAGCTGGCTTGTGGTGAGAAGTATGAGATGTGAGACTTTTGCAGAAATTAAAGCCAGACGAGAGTCCTGATATTCTGCAAAACCCTGAAATATGTTTAAAAACACATTTTTATACATTACATTTTAGTTGGTAGGTAACCAGTGGAGACTCTTGGGGGTCCCAGCTAAGAAATAGTCTGATACAACCCCTGTACACTTTGGTTTTTGTACAGAACTGGCAGCTGGCTATAGGTTTGTATTTACAGTAGAGATATGAGAGTATTATTGATCTTCTCATCTAACTCTAAGTCTCTAAAGAAACTTTGTCAAAATGTTCAACAATTCCTTTAAAGCCTCCACGCTACCAGGGTAGAATTATTATTTAAATTTAGTTTAATATCAAATATAAATAACTTTGGTCTGAAAATTAACACAATCAGTCTTCAAACTATTCCTTTAATGTTAGAGAAAGATTTGTGGTTAAAGTTAATGAAACCACAAAAAAAATATGTTACTTGCAAGTTTGTGAGGGAACAAAAACTCTGCAGAAAAGCGTTTTCAACAGCTTTCAACTATTGGATTACAGTTATGCAAATGAGTCTTCGGATGGTCAGAGGCAAACTTAGACACACTACAAGAGAGTATTTTGTCAGTCCATACTGACCTATAACAATTCTAGACCAGTCTCCCCATAATCGACAAAATCTGTCATTGTAAGCGTGACTTTAAGTTGTGTTCCCAGGTTTTGAGGTTTATTTTGGGACTTAGGGATTCAGATCCTCAATGCTGTTTTTGGCTGCCAGCCAGTACACTGGCCTCACATAAATGTGCATTCAGAATACATCTCTGTGTGTTTATGTGTGCATGCGCTTTAGAAAGAGGACAGAGGGTAGGCAGCCGACCAGAGCGTCTCTGGGAAAACACAAACTCCAAACAGTAGAAATCACTGGAGTGCAGACTGGTTGAGACCCAGAGCAAGACCCTGCATTCCCCAGAAACCCTCCGCCTCGATCCTGCTGCCTCCACTACATGCTGAGTGGGCAAGAGGGGGAGTGATGGGAAAACTGAGAGAGAAAGGTTGGAATGAAGAGCGGGATAAAAGACTCATTGCAGATAAAGACACACAGTGATGATTTTACTGATGTGAGTCTGAGGCGTATGAATGGGATGACTAACGATGAAGGTTCCCTCAGCGTGACATTCCTGCTCTTTGAGTTGTCTTCTCAGGACCTCGTCTGAGCATCTGCAGGATGTTCACGAGTTTGCAGGCAGTTGAAGCAGCTTCCTGCTTCATGACTCATCTCTCTCATCCGTCAAAAAAAAGAAAAAAGCTCAGTGAGATTTTTTTTCAGTGATGTCTGAAATTGCTAAGTTAGTTTGTCCATCAACCCAAAAAGCTTAATTCATAATGATTTTAAATAGGGCTGCAACTTACAATTCTTTTCATTATTAATATATTTACCAGCTATTTTCTCTTAATCTTCAAATTGCTTGTTTTTTCCAATCACATTTAAAAAACCCCAATATTCACTTAACCATCTTATTTGACAAAAAGGAGCTGAATTTGTCACATGTGAGCAACTGGAACCATCAAACGTCTATAAAATCACTGAAAGAATTGATTAGTTATAAAGAAATATTGTATATTGTGATCTTTTTTTAACTACACAGGCTTTAATTTAATGAATGAAATCTTCACAACAGAAATCTCCTTCAGATCATCTAAAACAAGTGAAGGCTAATGTAGTAATAATGCTAATGGCATCTGATGCAAATCATCTTTTTATTTTTTATCATTTTATTTATTTTTGCCTTTTTATCTGATAGGGAAGCTTAAGATGGACAGGAAAGGGGGGATGACATGCAGCAAAGGATCATAGGTTAGACTGCGGTAGGGTTTTTTCTGTTGTGTCAAGTAAAGACAGACAGGAAAAACTTTTTGGTGGGCTTTTTGGTAGCATAAGAGGCTCTTTAATACTAATTTTCTTTTGCCCCAGGCAGAGATAACAAGTTGCATTACTAAACCGAACTCATTAACCTTTTTTATTCATCTCCTTTTTGTCTTCTTTATACCAAAATCGTAATTCCAGGCTGATACACTGAAGAAACATGTCAGTGGGTGGATTTATTATGATTAATGCCCCCTATTACATATAATCACCATGGAGAAGCGATGTTCACTTCTTGGCCCATGTAGTTATCAAAGTGTCTCTTTGTCACGATCCATGTTGTTGTGACGTCGTTTAGCAGAAATTCAAATTTCTCTCCCACTCTTCCCCCAAGCCCCCTCACCATACCATTGCACACTGAAAAGCCCCCCGTCCTCTGGACCCACTCTGACAATAGAAGTCTCTCATGTCGGGCAAGCTACCCCCAAAACAACTTGCTCTCGGGTCTGGCCTCAGTGGCTTGGAAAGAATGACTTATTTTCCTCTCCTTCCTTCCTTCAGGCTTTCCTTAGCCCATGAGCAGAGCACTGTGAGCTCTGGTGAGATAAACAAAGTCGTGTGTATTCATCAATCACAAAGGAATGGCACACACAGGGGTATATGGTAAGGACACTCACGTCAGTGCCTCAGGAGTGGAAACCTTAAAGGAGCCAAGGTCAAAGGTAAACTCGAGTGTGAATACTGGAGATAAAGGTGATTATCTGATGGGTCAGAGAAATGGAAAAAAGACTAAATTACAAGTAAAATTACAAGAATATTACCAGCAAAATGTACTTTAAGTATTAAAGTAAAGGTACAGAATGGTCCCTTTGATATTTCCATTTATATCATATTATTAGAATATTGTTATAGATGTTTTCAAATGTAAGCTAAATGTTAATGTTTCAGCTGATGGAGGTGGAGCACATTTTACTTATATATACTGTTGGATGGTTTAATAATCTATAGCACAGTATTTTATACATTGATAATATGTTTCGTTTGTAAAAACCAGTAACCAGCAACTCGACCTGTCAGATAAAAGTAGTGGAATATAAAAGAAAATCAACATTTCCTGCAGAAATAGTATAAAGTAGCATTACATTGAAATAATTAAGTAAAGTAAAAGTACCTCAAAATTGGACTTGAGCAAATGTAATTAGTTACTTTCCACCACTGTGGGAAATATGCCACTCTCTATAGTCTGTAGGATAGCAGCAGGTTATCGCATGAAGACTGGAGGCAGTGGTAACAGCTGGCCAGAAGAAATTAGTCTAAAACTGCTTACGTATGAGGGAGTATTATCAGACAGAAAGTCACTTCCCATAAAATAGTAATTTGTTGTTCT